TCATCTTTCAAAAATTTACTAACATTTTATTGTGTCTTTCCAACTGAAATATAAAGCTCTTCATAATTTTGTTTGACGGATGACCAAATGGTAACAAAGTAAACTTTTTACAACAGAGGGGGAAAAAATGAATAAACCCTCCCCTCCCTTCCAACAAGCAAACTAAAAATGTGTTCTTATGGCTTGCAACTCTTCTTTTTAATTTCACAAAATAGTGCATTTTGCACTTTGCAACAATAAAAAATCAAACCCCTTCCCCAACTTCATAACTAAAGTATATATAAATAATTTTAAATGTAGGCATTGTTTTCAACCCTATCGACACAATTAGATCACTCAGGAGGCAGGATTTAAAACGTCCCAGCAGAAAGACTAATATACCGGTACTCGATCCGATAAAAATTCTCCCCACACAGGAGTTGACCTCAAATCTTCTGCATGTAACAGCAAGGCACCTAACCGCTACACCACAGGCCACGATAAAATGTATGTCAACACTGGTCCCAATGACTAACAGTTGTAATAAGGGCAGGGTACAACTTAAAAATAAACTTGGGAAAAGGATTTTTGCAATTCGAAAATACCAACAAAAAAGATTTTCCCATTCTCAATACATACCAGGGGAGACAAATTTTTGTCCTTCTCAATAAAAGAAATAATAATTCAAACAAACCTGAGAAATAAAATCACCAAACCTGTCCCTTCTTATGACCTGAAATAACTTTTCAGTAACCCCATACTATAAGCAAGACATTAGACATCTACTTTTGGTTTGTGTTGTTGAAGTTGAAGGTCAACTTCGGGCGGGGGATTTTGAAATGTTCATATCAATGCATGTGATATTGTTTTTATCCCCAAAATGAAAAGAAACTGTACAAAAAAAAAACATTTGAAGGTATAAATTTACAATGCACTCTCCCAATAAAACAAGAAGGCAATAAAAAAAAATAAATAGCAGTCACATCCCACCATTATGCAAACACTGTTTGTGAGAGTGATGATGATTTACAAGCCTTAGTATCAAGAGTAAACCCTCCAACTTCTCTTTGAGTTTGAGTTCAAATAAACAAAAGAACTGTCGAGATATCAAACAAAGTTGAATAAATGATGGTTCAAACACACACACACAAAGAGGAATTTGATTTAGGTGGAAGTCAAGGTGACACAGAAAAAATTGGCATGTCTTCAAGTTAAACTCCTTCATTGCTGAGATCATGTCCGTTTATGTTTCTGCAGACAAGATAAAATATTCATTCAAGAGAGATTAACACAAAACCGTAGTACCTTTCCTCTTATTTAAGAATGAACAGCTGTACAAGTGGTAGTTTCATCACCTAAACCTTCCTCTATAAGCCAACAGAAAAAACCCCACCAAAATAGCAATAAACCAATTTTGGAAAACACAAGTGAATACATACGTCTACTGCACAGCAGTGAAGCGGTTAAAATCTTCATATCAATTGCCCACTTTCTCTACAACACAGTGAAGGGAATTTTTTTAAAGGGAAAAATATAAACTGAAAATCATTTTTACCAGCGTTTGTTCTTAGCAAAGTTCTCTATCATAAAGAAAAGTATCACTGAGGAGATAATTAGTTCATAACATACAGTAAAGCACCAATCATAAGAGCTCATGAATGTAATGCGTTGTCTGCTTGGCATGACAAAGTTGACCAGTTTGATAATATGAAAATGAAATGTTTAAGCTACCAAGTGAAACCATACACTTATATACACACACACATACACTAAAGCACAAAACAGCAACTGAAACACAAGTCTACTTCCTCACCAATATACGTGTATCAGTGTCGTAACGACACACAAACTTTCATTTCATACAGCAATCTGAAATGAAATTTTACAGTCAATCCACAGCGCTCAACTATTACCATAAGAAACAAGCCAGCAAGAACCCAGTAACCACTTCAAAACGTTGATCAGTCTCTTTACTTCTCTTTTCACTTTCACCAGAGGTAGAAACTAAGGCAACTACAACAAAACCATAATGACAAGACCACACTAACCATTATGAAAAAAATCTCTGGCAAAAATTGCTGGCTCCTAAGTAGTATTAAAGACAACTGAATGACACAAGACAATAGGATTTATGCAGTATTGGTGTGCATTTTACATATACTGCTATGACAGAGCAAATGGATAAATTAAATATACTAAAGTAAGCCAGAAAATGTTGGTGGCAAGGAGTGCAAGAAAATGACTGATATTCCTTAACACAAAGGGAAGTATGCAACTGTTAACTCACTTGAGCCTGAGCTATTTTTGACCCAACAACCATTGCAGCCTGACACTTTTGGGATACATGTATTGAAGAGGTAACCACAAAAAAACTGAAAGCTATCATAATTTTTAAAATGCAACAAGAGAAAGAAAGAAATGCTCTCACAGAAAAAGAAAACTGCATCTAATTTGTCCTAGGTTTTTATTTTATCAATATTTTCAAATGGCAATGTCCGGGGTTACATAATTTTTTTTCCACCCAATTTGTAATAAAATCACATCGCAATGCGGGGGTAACTGACTTAGTCTGCTACAGCTCAAAAAGTATAGCACATAACTTCACCAAATCTTTAAACAAATGAAACAAGCAGGTCAACTGTTGGCTCGCCACTTCCCGTAGCTTGTAACCGAAAAACACCGGAGATATGGATTTATAAAGCACATCCCGTAAATACAAAGGATAAGGCCACCGGCATCCCATAAATACACGGAAATAGGCTCAAGTGAGTTAATCAGAGGCAAGTTAAATGTACACATTATGAATAAACCAATACTCAAAATTGAGTGGCTACAAAAGTGAATCAACTACAGCATGCACTGGTGAAAACTATGTTTATATTAAATGTGCGCAATCCAACAGGGAATACCATGACAACAAATGTGTTTAGGTGCAAAACGAAATTCAACATAATTATTTGTTTAACATTTTTACTGAAATGGTGTTGTCAACTGCACACCAATGTCGAGGAAAGATAGTAACGCTGGAGAGGTGACCATAACTTTACTTTTCTTTAAGTAGTCCACACAATGCAGCCATAGAGGAGAGCACTGTGAGGGAGAAGCTAAGAATCAAGAGCAGTTGGGGGAATAATAAGCCAAAGGGTAATTTTTAAAAATTAAAGCAGCAATCAAATCGTGTGTCATCTCATTTCACAGCTGCTAGATGCCTGCAAAAGACCTTGTTGTGACATGTTAGTTGTTCATGCTTTACTCCCTGTTGACAAAAGAACAATATAGACAATTCAGCAGCTGATATGCTTCAACCCTGCCAGTCAGGGCCAACCCACATGACACAGGAAACGTCGTAGAAGAATGGCACAAACTCAATAAAACATTTTTTCCGCAGCGCGCGGGAATCAAACTCGCGCCTTATGCTGGCCAGACCAAGAATCTACCATTACAACATGGATGCCAGGGACGGTCACAGTTCAATTGCACAAATGCCAACACCTTCAGCTTCTGAGTATATAAGTGCTAGAGATTGATGAGTTCTTTCTCCATTCTCTGGAACAAGAAACACGGTGAGGGTATGGCGACTCAACAACCACTGTACACAGGGAATTTTCAATTCAAGAAACAGACTCCCTTCGGCCAAAAAGCATTAAAGAAATTCTGAAACGGCCTACACCATAGCTGGTAGAATTACGCATACACCTTTCTCAACACAAAGGTACACAGCTATTTAGTAGAGTTGGGTTAGGCTCGCTAAATCGGCGTCCGCGAGGTACGAACCGTTTGCTGGTACTACTCACAAACCAAACAAGTGGTCAGGTAAAAAACCATCGGCTTGTGAAGATTCATACACTGTACCTCCTGTTTGTTTAGTGAGCAGGCAGACAGAGAGATTCAATGCATAAGAGCGGGCAGACGGACAGGTCAACAACCGTCCACTTGTGAAGATTCATTCGCTGTACCTCTGGTCAGTAGAGGGAGAGCATTTTGTTTAGTGAACGGGCGGATGGACGGAGAGACTCCTTTCATTGCATTATTTGCACACTACTACTACTTCTACTACCACCCCTCCCCCCCCCCCCCCCCCCCCCCCCCCCCCCCCCCCCCCCCCCCCCCCCACACCCCCCCCCCCCCCCCCCCCCCCCCCCACACACACACATGCCACAAGCCCCGCCATCCACCAACCTTCCCTCCCACACAGTGTGACCCGCAAATGAGATGAAAGCAACCTCCTCGGGTGAAAGGTTACACATACAGTGTTGTGTCACCAGCCTCTCCCACTCCCTGTGGCACTGCTAGTGGCTTGAAACACTAGGCCTAATTAACAAATGAGAGACGATAGGCCTAACCTCGCGTCGAGTATCTTGTCTGCTAGAATTCGTCAGCTCACCCATCCGCTGAGAGAGTAAAATTGTGGAGCAGACCCAAAAAAAGAACTGTCTTGAGGCTCACAGTCCGCTCACATGGCCATCCGTAACCTTGCTCGCTCTAACTGCGTCCGCGAGTGACAAAACCATCCGTCCCAACTCTACTTTTTAGTCCATATGAAATCGAGATACAACAGTAGACCTTTCATTACATTTCAAAATAGAATCAGGAAATAAGGAAGTTATGTCTCAAACAAAACCAAAAAAAAGAAAAAAAAGAGCTCTCATTTGAAAACCAAAGACTTGCAACTAAATCCTGGAAGAACAGATCATTTCACTGCATACAAAAAAAAGGTATCAGAAAAGGCATTTTTTATCTAAAATAAAACAAAAACCAAAAAGTATTCTCACATTTTCCCACACTACTGATTGATATTAAAATATATATCACAAAAGCACAAACAATACCAGGTAAAAATGCATACCGTATGTCAGATTTGGAATTTCAGCCATAAAGCCAAATGACGCTTAAGGCCTCCTCACCAGGTCACAGAAACTGTGAGCTAAGTGATAAAATATGCATGAAATAGAGATGAGTAATACAGATCATCATGTCGCCGGAGTACAACAATCCTATAACCCACACTATGTCAAAAAAAATTTTTTTTTTTTGCTTTTCTCAACTGCATGTGACATTGCAAATTTGCTATCAAATTTTGAGACATGTAGCTCAATTAACATCGCCATTGCAACATTCAAGCTTTAATAAATAACAACTTTGTTAGATGAAAGGACAAAGTTTTTTCCTTCTCCTGTAAAATGTTGTTTTTGTGGGATACAGGGTTGTTGTACTCGGGGAACAATCTATTTGTGTAGCCACAAATTTAGAACATCTGCTTTCTCTCCTGGTCTACTCACTGACTCCATTTTAACTCATCCCAGGCACAATTTTTGTAGGATAACACCTATAACTAACTAATATTATCAATAACTTGTCATGTGTACAACCAGGAAGAGTTAAATTATCTAGGATGTAATTACATCCAAGAGCAAGGAATTTATTTGATGGTCATTAGTGTTGCCTTAACAAAGAATTCAATCAGCTAAAAAGGATAGAATATTGATTTAGCCATGAATCTTAACACACAGCTGAAAGACTAACTTTGTATATAATTGAAAATAGATGACAGTGTCTGTCATCCAGTAAATTTTGGAAATTATTAGAGGTGAATTGCTTCCTCTCACTCAATTCTAATTAAATTTAAAAAAGAAGTAATTAAATCTATGGAACAGAATTTGGAATGTTGAATTCTCCTCACAGGTAAATGAACTGGGATGGGCATACCACCGGAGACTAAATATGAAAGCAAAATACTGGAGAAATCAAGTTGTACACAATACCATCCGCTCATACAACTTACAACAAATAAACCATCGTACATCCATGGAATTCTCGAGGATGAAACCGAAAAAAAATTCAGAGCAAACAACGTTTTTTTTAAATGGCACTTGGCAGCAGATTAAACAAAATTATCAAACTCATTATAGGAATCCACATGCGGTGAAAACAAACAAATAAAACTTTGGTCATGGCGCAGATGGCAATTGTTCAATGTCATATGTCAGAATATTGCTGTGATACGAGGACCCCTTACCCTGAGATTAGAAACATCACATGATTTACAATGGGGAAAAAAAATGCATATACAGAGAAAAATGTATTGTGGTCTGCAAACAAGATGCCTGAAAACCATAAAATAACGACTGTTTATCAAAATGTTAATCTGCTCTAGCTTCATTTCTGTCATCCTTTTAACTTTCTGAAAATTGTTATGATAATGATAATAAAAATAATGCCTTCAAATAATGAGATGTTTGAAACATTTTTTGAGTGGCTGGCGTGCAAGGATGTGAAGTGGCAATTGGATTGTTTCATCATTTTGAAATGTCAAAAACTGAAAGCTCAACTGTCTTTCCCAGGCCTACATACAAATAATTAAAATCACTTGACAACTGTAGTCATCCAAATGTGATAACAAGGCTCGGGAGCAAAGTACTCATCAAGGCTAAACAGTTTGGCACAGGTTTCCAAATAGAGGCTGTCACATCATCAGTTGTCATTGGAGGGAACGATTCAAAAAAATAACACAAAAATTACAGTTTTAAAAAAAAGTTTTCAGAATCCAAGTTTAAAATAGAAAAGTCAGTCATCTTAAACCTTTATTACCTGACATGTCTTAAAATACATAACAAAACATTTGTGCTTGTATGAGAAAAAATATTATAATCAACAACAAAAAGAAAATTATACTGGTCTCACTTTCCCCTGCACGCTCGATTTCTGTACAGTACAACGTACCACTTTGTTTCTTATCTGGGTCGACTGTTGCCAACATATACAAAACAGGAAATAAGAAGCAAAATAGAGAAAAAAAATGTTCAATCACAACAATGTAACAACTGAGCCCTTCTACTGCTTCAAGGCACTAGGACTATATGGCAGAACTTAATACTGTGCGTCCACTTGCCTAACAGTCAAATCATTTTGCGAAATTCATGAGAAGGCATCAGCAAGATTGCCAGATGACAAAATGTTGAAAGTAACTCCTTGGCAGTGTGCACAAGAACCAACCTGTTCTAAAGCACAAATTTAGAGAGCATCAGACAAACAAGAAGTGATGGGAGCAGTTTGCTTTTTGTTTTCATTCACGTCTGTGGACTTCCTAACATATTCAGTTACTCCTTGGAAAGAAAACGAAGTGTCCCAGTGACCATCAAGAAGACAGCGAATGGCTCGAGTTTGAACAAGGCAGTTTTGTGACATCAAAATCAGTAAAAAATAAAAAATACATTAGACGGCAAAATTTATTCATGTGCTGATTTTCTTCTGACTGAAGCAGAGCTGCAATTCTGATCTTATATTCTCATTCAGTCACACAGACGCAACTAGCTGGATCAGTGGGCTCACTAATTAATGTGAACTTACAGCAGTGAGAGAGAGATGGATTCACATGGTAAAAGAAATGTTCATGGCTGTGTCCCTGAATATAGTGGAATCACATTAACACAAAACAAAATCCTTTGCAAGAGAACATTTTAGATGACTTGCTTGGATGAGAAAATAAGTCCTTTGACCCAGAAGGCAAGTTTGTGAGTATAGATAAGAGATTAGTGTTTTAAAAATGTTGGAAAAAAGTTGAGTAGACGGTTGCAAGTGTGGCATAAAGCCTTGCAAAGTTACACATAAAACAATGATCTTTTGGCATGGCATTATCATTCAATTAAAACTCAGTCCATACAGTATCTGTCTTCATTAATTTCATCACATAAATTTTCTACACTTACTTTCTCCTAAATCAAAATATACTGAATTCATAACAAAACCAGAGACAACCCATCCCCATTTTTGTTTCCTCTGTAAAACTTATTTCATTACCAAAAAGAAAATTAAATTACCAGAAATAAAACCTGTTCCATCATTGACCAGAGTTGTTTTTTTAATCTGTTAAGTATAAACCTCTCAAACTCCAAAGATGCAACGTGTCCCTGAAGAGGTACTTGTGCAACAGCATACAAGACAGCGTAACATCACAGGACACCTCATGTCTTGGAGAAATTGTTGTTTGTGGTTGGCAAAGAACTACCCTGTCGCATCTCCGACCGTTTTATATGAGTGTAGGCAACAACACCTGGAATCAGAAAAAAAAACAATGATCATTTCAAACAGCCTAAAACATTTTTTTAAATGATAAAAAGCAGCCTTGCATCGGCCTTTAGGCTGACACTACATCACAATACATGATTTGGCTGGCTTGTCCATTCCAGTGTACCATCAGAGTTCCCCCAAGGACTTACAGCAGTGATGCCTGATAGTCACATAACACTCACCATTATCATAAATATGAAGCGACTGCTTAACCCTATCCGTACATCGTGTTTTACTATTGAATCCATACGACGTCGGGAACTCTGTGCCACCACTTTCAAAGAGGAAATTTACTCGTTAATCTGATCCGTACTCTTTGCATAGCAGTCTGTCAAAATGATTTTTTGAGAAATACTGAAAGTTTCAAAGAGATCTTCACACTACAAGTATTCAAAAATGTGAAGAATACAACCCCGTGGGTACAAAATAACCCCGTGGGTACAAAATGACCCCGTGGGTACAAAATGACCCCAGGGCATACGGACAGGGTTAAGACGCATTTGTTTAAGTTGTAGTTGCAGTCTGTTAGCAGGTGCTGATGTGTCATGTTTTCACTACTGTCCTTAGGGGAATATAATTAATGTACGGCTGAGAAAGTTTTTTCCTTATGTGGTTGTTCTGGTTTTCTAGTTTATATGAAGTGTTTTTCCTTGTGTTGATGAGGTTTTACTCTCAGTAGTCATGTCATCTATGTGCTCAGAGCTTTTTCTTGTACACGATGAATTGCTATACAGTGGAAACCATTTATAACAGGCCCAGTAATAACAGGGATCCGGTAATAACAGGGATTTTTAAAATCCCCGTTTTTTTCTACTCTTTGTCTCTATTAAAAGTTATTGGCAATAACAGGGCCTCATTGGAGCCCAACCGGTTATAGCAGGGACCAAGGCTCGTCAACTATGAGTAAAAAGTAAGAAAGAGAGAGAGAGAGAGAGAGAGAGAGAGAGAGAGAGAGAGAGAGAGAGAGAGAGAGAGAGAGAGAGAGAGAGAGAGTAACGCAGTGATGGAGCAAGCCCACGCAAGCCATGCCACTCCAAGCACACGCAGCGTGTGAAGGGAGAGAGGGCTACGGTGTGCTGCAGACCTCGATCTAACCAGAAACCTAGCAACACGCACGCATAATGTGTCACCAACGATGTCAAGCGCGAGAGAAAATACCTTTCAATTGACAAAAATACGAAATAATCCAGGCTGTTGACAAAAAGCAATCTCCACTGGCAGAGATTTGTCGTCAGTTCGACATTCCACAAGGGTCGATTCACACCTTTATCAAGGACAGAGAGAAGATAGTGGCAGCATACTCCAATGAAAAGTTTGCTCTGGATCGAAAGAAGATGAGACTACCCTATGCAGATGCCCTGGACCAAGCTCTTCTGATGTCGATGTGGTGTAAGGAGGCAAGGAGAAAATTGGTGCCAAAACCTCTGTTCGTGGGTACTTGTGGCAAGGGAAACTACCCATGAATAAGTACAGCTGGATTAGTCCACAAAAGCTTACTTTCCTTTGCATTTCTGATTTAACAGGGATCAGATATAACAGGACATTTTCTCTACTCCCACCATCCCTGTTATATCAGGTTTCCACTGTATATAATAAATGCAATATATTATTATCATTTATTTATCAAAATCTCGTTCATTATTTTGACGAGCGCCTGATTTCACCACAATGCCTCACATATAGGCATTTGAGCAGGCATATTAGTGTGTGTGTGGCTGTGTGAATGCATACAGGCATGTGTGTGGTGAATAAGTGTACAAGTGAGAGCATGTGTCTGTGTCTATGAATGTGTTTGTGTGTGTATGCATGCATATACTTATGTATGTGTGTGTGTTTGTGTGTGTGTGCGTGTATGTGTATGTGTTTGTGTGTGCATACATACGTCCATGTGTGTGCAAGTGTGTGTGTGTGTGTGTGAGAGTGTGTGTGTGTGAGAGTGTGTGTGTAAGTACCTGTTTGTATGTGTTTGTGGGTTGTTTTTTTTTGGGGGGGGGGGGGGTTTATAGTAGAGGGTTTAACGACGCTCGCAACTGCATAAGGTCATATGAGCGCCCACGGGTGGGTGTCAACAGAGAAGTGTTTACAGGGAATCGGACTTAGACTGCTCACCTCTCTAGCTTCAACAGCACAAAGTCTGCTTCGACTATCAAGGCACCCCAAAATAGCAGGTCGCAAGAGAGTGACAAACATACAAAAGAAGTAGAGGAAAATGACAATAGTAAGGATCAGGAAAGAAAAAGCAGCAGTTCCCTGTTGTAGATCAGGCACAGTTATGAGCGTGACATGAGTCAGCCCATTTACAATTCTACTATGCTTGTACGAGAAATGTCCCCCCTTTGGGAATGGCCTAAACACACTACAGTCAGTGGCACTGCCCCGGGGAGCTGTGTTTGTGTGTGCATGCATATGTCTATGTGTGTGTGCATGTGTGTGTATGAGTGCATGCATGTATATGTGCATGTGTGTCAGTGTCTGAACGCATAACGTATGGTGCACGTGCAAGCATAGAAGAAGGCTCCGTGGACAAATAAAAATCAAACAAACTCACCTGCAACTGTGGTGAGAATACCCAGCAGCTGTAAGACTTGAATAGGATCATGAAACAAGAGGTATCCGCCAAATAAAGTCATGCAGAACTTGAGATGACCAATCATATTGTATCTAAATATTGGTCAAGGATATTTTTGAATAGAAGTGTTTCTCACATAGGATTACATGAGATTACTCAGGTTTGTGAAAGTGTAATTAAGCATCAACAGTTTCATTCATTTACCTTTTCAAATTCCTGAAGTGAACGGGTTGAGGTAATGAGGTAATGAGGTACACAGAGTGGGAGCCACGTGTAAATAGATAGAAATAAAAAGATTGAAAGTACGCTTTAAAACCTGTGTGTTTGAGAGCACTTGTTCGCGCATTTGTGTACGTGTGTGTGTGTGTGTGTGTGTGTGTGCGAGTGTGTGTGTGTGTGTGTGTGTGTGTGTGTGTGTGTGTGTGTGTGTGTGTGTGTGTGTGTGTGTGTGTGTGTGTGTGTGTGTGAGTGCAAGTGACACAGAGAGAGAGAAAGAAAGAGAAAGAGAGACAGACAGACAGACAGACAGACAGACAGACAGACAGACAGACAGACAGACAGACAGACAGACAGACAGACAGACAGACAGACAGACAGACAGACAGACACAGACAGACAGACAGACAGACAGACAGATAAAGCACTTTAAAAAATCCATTGATAACAGCAGAAAAAGGATACGTTACAGGTGAAGTATTTCCAATGATCCAAAAGATGGACAAATTGACGCTGAAGGCCACACAGGCAGACATCAGGACGGCAAACTGAAACAATAAATATCAGAAGAAAAGAGATGAAATATGTTTCTTCCAATTCTTTCATCAGGAGACAAGAGTAACAAACCATTTTTTTGTTTCGTCTTTTTTCTAAAAGTACCAGTTATACCGAACCTTAAATCAAACTTATGAGAACAATGAGACACATACTGTTTAACAAATGCACAGCCATTATACATAAATAAATCACACTGTAAAACAATCATCTCCACTATAAATAGAACGTAGGTAAATGATTAAGAATAAACAACGCTTCCACAGCTATAGAGCAAGATAAGAAAGAAACTTTGTCTTAACAAGGTCATCAACACAAGGCTAATACTAATATGTTTCGGCATTTCAGTGATTAGGCCACCTGACTCATAACTGTGAGGCTGTGGAATTGGGAAATTGGGAGTTCAAAACCCAGCTTGTGTCCTTGGGAATGGCACTTCATATTAACTTTTTATCTCCGGTCGGAACTACCATGCCGGTGAGCCGCTGACAGAGGCTTGGGCACATTCCTTTACGATGACTTTGACATCAAATTACTTTTCTGCAATTGTTGAAATCAGGTCTCTTTTACCGGAATTTCATTCATTTGTTTAAGAACTATCAAAATAGGTTTGCTAGTTTCGATTTGATGACCCATTTAAGGACGTTTTTGTCATTTTTAGATTTAGCACCCAAAAAGGGCCCCGGCATAGTGGGTTTACCCCCCTCAGAGATAAAAGAGTTAACTTTCCTCACTTCACCCAGGTTTGAACAGGTACCCAGTTATAGACAACAGAGGATCTTATCAATATGGTAATGTTTTGTTGCATGTAAAATAGCAGCATGCACTGTTTGTATGTTTCCAAAGATGTTGAGACTGCTTCAGAGGTATATTAAGGTTAACTGGGGTAGAAATGTAGATTGTAATGCGAATACAGCCTGCTGTTGAGTGGGAATGAGCGCTACAAAAATACTATCTACTACTATTACCACTACTACTACTACCACTATTATTATTATTACCATTATATTAATAAAGCAAGCATTCCATGTGCACTGTTAAGAGTGAGTGAGACCTGAACAGTGCACTCACACCAGCAGGATTAAAAAAGCTCAACAGGTTTCACATCAGATGTCTGAGAAAGGTTCTTGGAATAACATGACAGGACAATATTACCGTAAAAGGGTACTAGTAAGATCAGAGAGTTTCACAAGTTTCAACAATGTCGCCAAAGCTCATGTGATGCAAACTCAGATATAAGACACCTTCAGTGAATGGAAGATGCTACAACACCAAAGGACTTTTTTTGTTTTGTAGAGAAATGGAAAATGGAAGAAGGAAAATTGTCAAACTCTGTTGGGTAAAAATGATGTCAGAGATATGCTTCTCCCTCAGGGACCTTACATTGACAACACACTCTATGGAACATATTGCAGCAACTGCAGCACTTATCACTAAATGGCATTAACTGATTCAGCCTGCAGCATCCCTCACAGTGGCTGACTGTCTCCAGTGATTTATCTTATCTATTGCTCCCTTTCTTCATACCACTTTCCTCTCTTTTTTCCTTACCACTTACATTCAACCCTTTTTTCTGGTGCTATTGACTAGTATTTTTTATTCTGAAAATTTCTGTTTACCCCACATGGGGTTTTATCAAATTTAGATATTTCTTAATTAACTTTTTGTGAGACCACCCATAAGTTCATGAAGCGTTCACAAATTATTTGTGTCTGGAGTCAAAATTATCTAAGGGCTGAATCAGTTCAACAAAAGGGAAAGAGCCCAGCTGTTGCTGGATCAATAACAGCAGCAACAACATTGTTTCTTTGTTTCAGGAAGCAACAACCCTGCATTCAAGACATCATGTCCATTGACGCTCCGTTGCTCTCTCCAAAATGTCGCTGAGGGTCTTTCGACTGATTGTGCCAGTGCATATATCTGGTTGAACGCAGCAGCAACAACAACTATCAGAAAACAAAGATGCTGGCACTAGAGACTAAACCTCAACTAAAATCAACTTTACAATATGGGGACAGAACGTAGAAAACCACAGAGAGGGGAAGAAAGTTAAGCCAAAACCAGTCTGAACATTAAGGAGAAAGACTTAGCAGTACAATGGCAAGATAAATAGTTAAACGATTGTACCTTGATAAATACAGTGTGTCCCAAATGTCGCCCACCAGCCTAAAAAAATCTTCAAAAAGTGGCACACCGAGCTCAGTTCCAGCATTTGTTATAGACAAATATCGATCAAGCTGGGGGGTTTTTATAAATGAAAACCAGGATGGTGCACAACTGTTGGGACACCCTTTATATTAGGGGAAGCAAGCAAGCAGATTAGTAAACTACAAGATTACACAGGAAAAAAGCAAAATATTGTATCCGCAACTAGATGTACTTGGATTTGAGATTTGGTAACATGATCCGTAATACGCAGCTTTCCCTTGGTTCTCATCCCCCCACCCAAACGGTTCAAGGTTGCTCGAAAACTCTACAACAGCTAATATTTCCCAATAGTCAAATCCACAGTAACTGCACCCCTTCAAAACAACTTGCTTAAAATGCTCTTTTCTAGAAAGTAATTTTGCAGATACAAAGCTCTTGCTGTTAACCTGTGCCTAGGAATGAGGCAAACAAACCAGTGCCTGCAACGGCCAGCTGAAGAGGACCCCTTGGAAAGCATCCAGGGGCTCGAAAAACGGGATGACAAACAGCAGCAGGAAGGCAGAGAGTGGCGCCTGGTAGTACAGCAACTGCATGGAGTTCACTTGTAACTCGTGCTGCTTCTCGCCAACCCACTGAAACACAAAAACGGATGTTTATACAGTAGTCATAGTTCATGAGTTAATCGGGGAACGTGTACAATAATGACCACATTTCACCTGGAACAAATAATGAATTAAAATAATAATAATTTTTTTACGACAGTAATGAATATTCCAGGTATTTCAGCTCATGTACTACATTACAGAGCCTAGATATAAAGCCCTCCTGGATATTAACCCTTTACAGCACAGGGCTATTTCAGCCCTAACTTCCCTCTTGCCCAGATAATACTGGAGTCTTTGAATTTGACACCTCAGGCTCCGCCAAATACTGATTGTGTCTGTAAGTTTTTGAAGACATATTAAGAAATGTCTCTACTGCTTTTTTTTTAAAGTTTTAGAAGATAACATCACGTTGAATATTTTCCAGAGACAATTGGATAGACCACAGTTAAAGTACCCAACCGTTTGAGGTAGCTGGAGCCCTATGAGGGAAATTATACGAGATGAGTTCTGTGGGAACAAGAACTCACGAGGGAAAATGCATGACTGGGGCTGTTTAAAGTGTTTTAAGCCCTTCTTTCTTCCCTCAACCTGCTCACTATAATACAAACACCAGATCATTTAAGAGATTAAAAGAGAAAGGCAATAAAAATCATAAAGGGAAGGGGCGGGTTCTGGGAACCTAGACATGCTTTTATAATGTTGACATCATACTACATCTTGTTAAACACTAGGGTTTTTTATTTTAAATCATAAGTTTACGAAATAAAAGCAAAATTTTCAAGACAGCAACTACTAGATGGGTAGCAAAAAGGAAAGGCATCATGCAATAATTGTAATAAATCATTTTCCCCTCCCTTAACCGCATGTGTGGATTCAGGGGGAATGTATCACTTACCACTTGGTACAACGATGTGACCAAAACTCCAACAGTTGCAAAAACAATTCCAACGACATTGAACTTCACATCATAACAGGAATTCAGGAACACACCAAGAGTAATCGGCAACTGAAAAAAATATATAAAGGCATAAGATAAGATAACCAGCATGAACTTAAAATTTGGAGCTTTTTCCAAATAGAAGCTAATCCACGAATGGTATGGAGAAAGAGACAGCAACTTGAGTGAGAGAGAGAGAGATAGAGAGAGAGACAGAGAGAGAGAGAGAGAGAGAGAGAGAGAGAGAGAGAGAGAGAGACAGACAGACAGACAGACAGACAGACAGACAGACAGACAGACAGACAGACAGACAAACAGACAGGGAAGGAGGGAGGGAGAGAGAGAGGGAGGGAGGGAGGGAGACAGAGAGAAAGAGAGAGAGAGAGAGAGAGAGAGAGAGAGAGAGAGAGAGAGAGAGGGAGGGGGGGGAAGAGGGAGAGAGAAACAGACAGACAGACAAGACAAAAAGATAGAGATGGTAAGAGACAAAACACACACACACACACACACACACACTCAGTGACTCAGACATATGCACAAGAAGACAAGTCCTAATTGCAAGATGTGGGAATGTTGTTGTGCTGAAAAATAAAAACACAGTTTATATTTATTATAGGCTCTATGGTATTAAATTACAGGCATCGTGCTAGTAGCCAAGGTTCCACTAGAGCTTGTCCTTTCAAGTTTCAAGTAAACCAATGCCTGTTGTAAACAATAGGCCTAGGCAATGAAGTGATCCAATGTTCAATCGCAGGGTGGTAATGTTGCGCATAGTAGCCAACACCCCCCCCCTCCCCCCAAACAGCCTTGACTTGAGACTCTTGAAGGGAGTTGGCTCTTGACGAGTGGGTGTGATCTGAGCTCATGTAGGCCTCCTCCAAGTTCAGCATATTTTAATAATAATAATGATAATAATAATATTTTGCGGCTTAAATAGGTGTTGTGAGAAGATAAACATCAGAGGACAAATGCACACACACAGAAATTACAAGTTACTATCAGTGTTCACAGTTTCTTAAAATAAAATTATTGAAAGAATTTTCTGACAAAGGTTGCTGTTTGCCGTGTTTGAATAAAAGTAAAAGATTGATGTTAAACCTGGGCTTATTAGGAAAATTCCATAATACAAGCCTAGGTTGCTGTAATGCAGACGGCCACCTCTATTCTCACCCGGGGTGAGAATAGTGCAGACGAGTCTTTTGGCTATTCTCACCTGGTGCGCGTTCACCGTTATAGCCTAGATCTAGGCCAACCAATTTTGTGTTCACCCTAAACCACAGAATTCTACACTGTGATAACAGAAAAATTGTAGAATTCTGTGCCGTGAACAAACGTTCCATTACTACTGTTAGCCTACTAAAAGCATACAATTTTGTCTGTGGGCAGTGGAGAGAAAGAGAAAGAGAGAGAGAGAGAGGAGTAGGCCTAGCGCGAGAACTTCCGGGCAAAACAAAATGGCGACACGCGTAGTTCTGCTCGATTCGAAAAGTTAAATAGCCGTAGCATCTTTGTAGACGATCAAATTAATTTACTTTTGTGTTTTAACATCATTTTTAAACTTTGTTTTAGTCAATTTGATCGTCCACACCGATAGACAGTATTCAGAAAGAGATAGAGAGAGAGAAGAGGGGAGGAGTAGATCTTGCGAGAACTTCCGAGCAAAACAAAATGGCAACCCCCGTAGTTCGGCTCGATTCGAAAAGTGAAATAGCCATAGCATCTTTGTAGTCGATAAAATTAGCTTACTTTTGCGCTATAACGTAATCTTTTCTTTGCCTTTATCCATTTGATCATCCACATCGATAGAAAGTATTCCAAAATTAGGAAAAACAGGTCTTGTTTCACACCGGGTGAGAATAGCCTACGGTGGCAAGTCTCACCCAGGGTGAGAGATCGATCGTATTTAATTTCTATTCTCACCCCGGGTGAGAATAGCCACTTCCAATGCAGACACCACTGTAATTCGGCCTATAATGTACAGTCATAGAGACTTAATACTATACTATATCAACCAATAGCCAATAACATGATAAGGTGATCTTGTAGTTCCAAGAAATCCAAAAGTCTTGAAGACCAAATACTATTTGAATTAGGCTACACAAAGAGCAGGGATGCAAAACATCAAATTAGGATAAAATTCAGGGGGGGCATGCCCCCCTGAACCCCCCACCTCCGTAGTTTTATACTCATACTCACCAAAGTAAGTTTAACATTCCTTGAGAAATTCCGTCCATAAAAATTTGTCTGGATAAGAATAATACATGGGGTTGTCATGGTTTTTATAAGCTGATATGTGCCAACTGTATTTGATTCCAGAGATAAATTTGTAAAGACCACAAACCCACAAAAAGATAGTGCGAGGGGAAGCATTGACATCAACGGGAGACTCTTCGGTTGAAAAATATTCGCTTGGCGACATACAACCAATCCTAAGGATGTGACAATAAAATGAATGCACGTAAGCGTTATGTTTGGGAAGTTATAATGAGTGTATATCCATTTGTTGAGAAGAACAATAACAATGGAGCTGACAATATTCGCAACAGCCCCGAAGAAAACGAGTCTTTCCTTCGGAGTCACCATTTTCGTTTAGTGAAGAAAGTATCCTAGATCTAGAGTCTAGCAGTAGCTGCAGTAGTGACAAACAACAGACACCGAAGCTATTTCCTTTCCGCTTCCGCTGTATCTGTACTTAGAAAGATTAGGCTTTATTATATATCGATACCAAATATATATAATATTTAGGCCCCCTCATAATATAAGGGTTTTCGCCTAAAAACACTCTTTGTAAAAACCCTATCCGTCTAAGAAACAGTTTACACTGTCTCCCGATGACAGAAATCTCTGCTTAATGTTAGCAGGTAGTCAAAGCTAGAAATTAATAATTTGTCGTCGAGATGTGTATATATCATATTGTAATGTATTCGCAAAGAGTCTATCCTGATAATTATTCTTTAAACGTTTTCGAGAACTACATGACCTATCTCTGGAATCAAACATGGTTTTAAAAAACAACAACTAGAAAACAGCGTTTTTCAGGTCGAAGCAAAGACAAAGCTGAAGCCAACGATTAGGACTAGATCTAGATAATAAAGGAACATTTTCGGATCATTGCTAAGATAGAGTATCGATTTTTATAAAAGGCTATCATACACAACGATATAATATGTAAAAGTTAAGTCACAAGTCACAATGCAGTAATCAAAACAAAAATAAATGTCTTATTCTAGTGAAAATTATAGTGTTATTGTGTTTCATTTTAAAGAAAATAAAAAATTCCTACCAGACAAATCAAAACAGTTTGTCTCAGCTTAGCATAAGATATAAAAATATCGGCTGGTATGATAATATATTATTTGTTTACAACTATTGTTTGTGTGTACATTGGATACAACTGAGCTAGCGATTTTGAAGCTTATTTTGGCTGCTTTTCTCTAGTGATATAATTTTTACTTTCAATGTGCCATTTAGAGATTGGAACAGTCTATCTTCATTCCAAAATTAAATGAAAAAAGAATATTTCTTATTATCTCCATGTGGTGGTGTTATATATAGATAGATAGATAGATAGATAGATAGATAGATAGATAGATAGATAGATAGATAGATAGATAGATAGATAGATAGATAGATAGATAGATAGATAGATAGATATTATAAATATATATATATATATATATATGTATATATATATATATATATATATATATATATATATATATATATATATATATATATATATATATAAATATATATATATATATATATATCAAGGAGGTATATTATACATTAAGGTCTTGAAATTTTTATTTTTTTTAAAAATATATATGTGTGTGTATTCAGGCTTGATAAGTAATATAAATAATTGCATGTATAACGCATATTCACGCTACGCAGCATGCTCTGTATTTGTATGTCTTCCTTACAACAACGTATTACCCGCAGTAAACCCTAGAACATTCAGAAATGCTCTTGTTTTCTCGGGATGCATACAGTGCAAGCTGCAGGTTTCATGTACGCTCAAATAATAAGAAAGCGAAAAGATCTTTTGCTATTTGTAGCCAGGAAGCATTCCCAACTGGGTGAAGTGAGGAACATTCACGTAAACCAGTGCCTAGGACACAACATCGGGCCCCTAGCGGGCCCACAATCTTTCGTTGGCAAGTTGGAGAACCAACCACTTGACCAACAACGACATACCCCCCCCCCAATCCACGGCCCTTTCCAAAAAAAAAAAAATTAAGTTAAGGGGCTAATCTCATAATAAGTGATTTTTTTTTCTCACCTTGTGCTGCGCCGTCTGAGTCGTAAAATGAACTTTAGCCTACTAGATCTATAAGAAACTTGCCACTTTAGAGGTCAAAACTGTCACGAAAATAAAATAGGCTATGGTGGACAACACGTGCAATAACTAATCTAGTGCTTAAATATTTTACATACTATCACAGAATTCTCGAATTCTGTGCATATTATACATACTACTGCCAAGGACCTTACAACATAACCCCCTTGCGTACTGTCAGAATCTCTGGCATCCAATGTTACAAAATATGAAAGCATTGGTAATACGAAAAACGAAGGTTGGTAAATGCCCAGCTGTCTTGCTGAACAAGCTATGAATAACTTGAAGTAACTTCCCCGACCCAGAAGTAAGTTGCGGTGTAGGCCTAGATCTATTTGTCGGTTAAGATTTTGTATTTCTTCTCGCCTTTTGTTTTTATCATATCATAATATTGTTGATAATTCTAGATCTAGATCTATTTAATTTAGAATTTGGAGCTAGATCTAGATCTAATTTTGTTACTTTGTAATTGTTGTTAGTGAACTCATCTCATGATCATGTTTATATATAGTTATACTCGTATATAGATCTAGATCTATATGCCCTTATTTAAACAATAACAAAAACGTACCAAAAGAAAAAAGACATCTCTCTCTAGATCTAATCTAGATCATCTAGATCTAGATCTAGAATCTAGATTCTAGAATCTAGATTTAGTTTTTTCCAATCTATATCAGCTATCATCGAAAAGTTTGAAAAGCTGTGATCAAGGTATTGATTTTCAATGACAATGTTCTTGTTGTCTTGTTCATTTTTTCTGCTTTACACGAATTTTGACCTTATCACTGCAAATTGATGAGAGATATGGATGTCTTTTTTTTCTATGACTATAGACTATGCTATTAACCATAGCCCAATTTAGTCTGATCTAAGGAAAATCTGGGTGGTTTCCGGTAGTATTGGGCGTTAATCGATTTTAGCTAGTATCGGGTAGTATCGGGTACCCGCGTCCCCAGTATCGATCGATACTCAATATCGATACTGTAGCAATGCCAATGAAAATTTAAATTTTCACTTTTGCCCCCTTTTTTTTGGTACCTAAGAAAGAATTTTCAATTGTGATAATTATGCTTCTTGAATTTTGAGAATCGGTTCATAAATTTAAAAAGTTATGGGGTTGTAAAGGTCGGCAAAATATGGATGACCCACATATAGGAAAATACTCCTAAAAAGTGGACCACGCAGTAGCAGATTCTGTAAGAAAATCGACAATATCTCGGTAACTAATCCAAATGTTCGAGAGAAACTTGGCTACCCGATGTGTTTTTGAGTGTAGAAATCATTTCTGCAGTCAGATTTACTACCAATTTCGTAGTTATTTTGTTATAATTAAAATTGTGGTGTACATATTACGATTTTGCGAAAAAGGGGTGTCGGGATGAGTCCATTTTATTTATAGCATCGTATCACAACATGGGATCTTTAAGAATATATGTCGGCAGCGTGACTAAATAATTGCAAAGCTTTTTATGATGACTTTAGACCATGCCAACCGTAAAAGATAAGTTAATTCAATCTAGCATGCCGTACAATTAAAAATTCTTTTTCCCCGTTGAGACGCGAACACCCCGAGACGAGATAACCTCGCCTCGGAATACCCCCATTGCGATGTTACAGGGGAATAGAGAGAAAAACAACCGGATGCGCGCGCCCGCCATTGCCCTATTTCAAGTGACCAATGAACGGGCCCGGAATAGTCATGCGGGGATTTGTAGGTCACAGACATTTGCCACGGGAGTGAGGGGAAAATGGCCGGTCTCCGTGCGAAGCCGCTTTGGATAGGGGGGTAGTCGTAGATTTACGATCGGGTCTAAACAACTACTTGACACAGAACTCTCAAATTTGAGAACACTATAGAGGATAGATAGATCTATTACCATCTGGGCGTTGAAATTCAAACTCCTTATAGTTTTCGGTGTACACGATACGAAAGTGTTCCCGACACCAAATGTATAGGTTAATTTATGTGTACGAACTTCAACGTCCACATATCATTAGTTTGCCCTATTTTCTGATTGGTAGCCGAGTTTCATTCGGATTGGTTCTGAAATAGAGCAGACCGAGGTTGACAAAGTTAGTCACCTACGCTTCGGCCGGGTCCGCAAAATCGCCCGTAAACGGGGACCAAATTTTCGCCTCGCGGGAAAGCCCGATTGGCATTGCTAGATACTGTGACGTCTCAAAAGGCTTAAAAATAGCGCTCACCGTATTGTTTCCTTGAAGCACTTTAATAGATGAAAGGTCAAAGGTCACGGTGTCAGTCATTCGGCTTACCAGGCCCTACTGCCTGTGCACCCAGTTGTAAGATGCGATCTTTATTTTGTTATTACTTTTTGTTTCATTATTTGTTTTTTGGGGTTTTTTTAATGCAAATCATTTTGACTACCTTGTCGTCGAGAAGTTTCTTCTTGAAGTGTGAAGGCGCGTAGGGCTCTGAACGGATGCAATCTGATAGCTTCATCTGCACTGCAACTACCGCTGCTGCTACCGCCCATCTCCTTGTCAAGTGCAGCATTTTCGCTTGGATGTTTGGCATGGAGATGTTTCATGAGATTTGTACTGTTCCCATGATGCTTTAATATGTCGTGACAAACAAGGCACCTGGCCTCTTTGTTTCCTGATAGCTTTTAAAAATGTGTCCAAACAGTGCTCTTCTTCTTTCTCAACATGACTAAGCCTATTTAGAAACAAAAGACGGGTGATCGTAGACAGCACGTTTCTCTATGATATCACGCAGATTAGGCGGCAAACACTACACTCATTACACTGATCAGTATCGACTAAGGGACTCTGCGATATCGAGTATCGACTAAGAAAACCAGTATCGATGAGTACCCGATATCGATATCGACTAAAGCCCAACACTAGTTTCCGGGTGGGGCATGCCCGCCCCCTGTATTTCACAATGAATTTGATGTTTTGCAATTAGATTCTAGATCTAGTATTAGATTGGATATTTCCTTGAAAACAATTGATTTGTGAGGATTTTAGTTTTAGGTGTTCTGCTGCAAAGAAATCTAAATGGCAGTTTGGCTGCCAAAACTAACTTTGCATTTGTTCCGCACAATTTAGGGATCGTATAATTGTGCGGCAATCTTCAGATTGCGCTGCGCGTTTTAACGATCATATAGTTGCACGGAAACCTGAAGATTACGTTAATATTTTATATTTTTGGAGAGCTTACAAGAATGATACTTTGCCAGGTATCAAACTCAAAAGTTTACAAAGTACATTTAATTTATTTCATATTTTTTTAATAATTTTTTTTTGTAAATTCACTTCCATCTTTATTCTTTTACTCACATCAAGGAACATTCATAAATTTTCAAGAGTGTAGAAATATTAAAATTAAAATTAATGTATGAAATGAAGAGCCCACAAGAATGGTACAATACCAGGTATCAAACTCAAAGTTCACAAAGTACATTAAATTAATATTTTTAAAATTATTTTTTAAAATTCTCTTCCGATCTTTATTCTTTTACTCACATCTAGGAACATCCACTTATAATATCTTCAAAAGAGTAGAAATATGAAAATTAAGATTTGAAACTGAAAAGCTCACAAGAATGATACAATTATATGATCATTAAAACGCATAGCGCAATCTTAAGATTGCTTCACACTTATATGATTGTTGAAACGCGCTGCATAATCTTAAGCGCAGATCTGTAAAGTGCGGGGAACACATCTATGTGCAGGTACGAAAGTAAAAATTTGCCGCTGATTAAATTCATACTCGAAACCCAAAATTTCGGGGGGGGGGGGAATTTTTGCACTGTTTTTGTAACATTGGTTGCATCGTTTGCACAAATGAAAGAGATACATGTATTTTGTGAATCAGAATTGACCTGTTAGAAGTAAAAATTTTGTTAACAGTTGAAGAGCACAGGGGGAAAATGATGGTAGTCACAAACTGGAAATTGTGAGGGTGCCAATTTTAAAAGCCTGTGGACTCATAACTCCATATTTGTTTGACTGGTGGTTTATTGTTAAGTGTTGTTGAATTGTAAATCTAACAACAATAATCAACCAACAATTGAACAGAAATACATTTATGAGTCAACAAGCGTTCAGAATTGGTACCCTCACGATTTTCAGTTTCTGTTTATGATTACCATCATTTTTCCTCTGTAGTCTTCAGTTATTTTTGCATAAAGATATTCTGAATACATTTAAACTGAACACGGGCCCCCTGATTTGAATTTTCTTAACCTAGTAGTCAGCACATCCAGGGGTTCAACACCCTGATCAGGGGCCACATTTGATTAGCTGTGATTCAGATGAGCTGACCGACCAGTTTGCATTGCTAAATGCATGCCCAGCACTTCCATATAAGTGGACATATAGTATGCCTAGATTTTGCCATCGTCAAGCATAGGGGGCCTACCAACTGAAAGATAATTTTTTTGCCATTCTCTGGAAACCATTAATGCTGTAGCTGCAGAAAAAGACTAAAGGAGTACACATCTTTTTACTCGCTCTTAACACTATGTCACCATCAAAAGTTTTGAAAACCACTTTGTCAAACAAACAGAAACCGCTTTTAAGAATTGGATCCAAATTAAGTGAACTCCAAAAGGTTCACCTTTCTTGGGATTGAGTATTTTGAACTTTGTTTGGATGTAATTGCATCCTTCTGTTTAAAAAAAGTCAAAGTACTTCTAAGGGCAGGGAGGTCAGGAGGATGAATTTTGACAAAGTGACTTTAAAAACTTTCGATGATGAGGAAGCATTATGATTTTGAGAGTGAATGGAAAGCAGTACAATCCTTTATCTTTTGTCCTTTTCTTCTGCCACAATAATCCTGGTTTCCCTAGAGTGGCAGTACTTAATTAATTTCTGTTTCAATTGGTTTGTTTGTCAATGGCAAAATCTTCGAAAACTGCACACTAAATACCGAGACTGCTGGGCATGCATGTTTGTAGTGCTGAAACTAGTCGGTCAACTCTAAGTGGGTCTTTCTTTTTTTTTTGTATTAGCGTTTGTGGTCTGGATAAAAAAATATACATCAGGATTGCTATTAGGTCAAATTTCTTCTAAGAATCCTGATTTTTTTCATCTACTGGTCACAAGGTTTTTAGGCACATGAAAGCATGGGTTATCTCAACATCAGGCTTATTCCTGAGTAACTTACATTTTTTGGGCCTGTTTCACCTGCAAATATTATCCTGGCCAGCATTTACAAGTTATAAGTTTGACTCAGAGTTGTTTTGAAAAGAGGAATCATAATATATTTATTTCTATTAAATCATTTATGTTCATAATTGTTGTATTATGTGGAGAATAGTTTTTGCTATCTATAATTTCATGGTTCTATAATTTATATGTGTTACTATTTGAACACAGAAATCCAATTTACAACCATGGGGAAAGAATCAGATCTTCTCAAGGCAGTGAAGGAAAAAGATACCAGTAAAATACAGGTAATAAGTTTGTCTGTGAATGCTTGATGCTTTTTTTCACCAAAGAAAGAACAAACCAATAGAGGCCTTTGCATGTGTATGGAAGTGAAACTGACATGGTAAAATTGAAGTTTTCGCATTAATTTACTAGAGTTCATACGAAGAAAAATAAACTTTCTAACAATTAAAAATTTAATCCTGTTTGTCACTAAAGTATTTTAAGAATTTGGTGTCTTGTTTAAACACTCTTGGGAAAACAAAGTTTCATTTCTGAATTTTCACACCTCAATGAAAGATGCAATCGAGCACAGGTATCTCAAACACATTGAGGGGTTGACCAAAAAAATGTCATTACACTTTCTCTTATCTTCCATCATGAAAAGTACCCAGTGCCAATAAAAGGATGGAAAGGTGGATTGTCTCAGCAAGAGAAAGGAAGAGAGTGATACGAATGAGCCTTATTACAACTACAAAAAAAAATTTGCTCTTATGTCAGATCACAATTATATGACAATGTAACCAAGACTGATCAGAGCATGCCACCCATCCCTCTTGTGTAATCTCTTCTCCCTCCATACCTTCGCATTCAAACAACCTCACTCGTGCATGCACACAAATACAAACATAATTCACACATCATACGGCTCAATGCATCGGCAGCAATTCAAGGAAGTTCTAGTCCTAGCACCTAATGCACACTCTAGGTAATGTGCAATGATGTGCTCGTTACCAGCAGTGTATATATCACACTGTGCTGGGGCGACCCTTTTGAGGTCATGTAACTTGATGCTCTCGATGGTGATGAGTGTGGGTTTTTTTCATCTTGCGTGCTGGGTGATTAAAATTTGAAGCAATTACAAAGGAAAAAGTTTGACCCCACTTTCGTAGATGAGCTGCTCAATATATCCATGCGGGTGTTTGAGAAAACAGTGCTGCCTATCGAAAGAAGATATATAACAGTTCAGTCGGCAAATGGCATATTATTTGAACTATCCATGAATCTGAGCTTTGCATGCTTGAGTTGTCCATGCTCGACTGTATATCTGGGTCTGCTGGACCCTCATTATAGTGACAACGTTTAGTCCAGTACATTCTCTTGCTCTTTCTCAGCTCAAAGAAACAATTTTAATGTTAATATACTATGCATTGCCACCCGATATGAAACAAGGTTTTTCTCAGTTCATTTTGCAACATACCTGATTGAATTTGCTTTAAAAATATACGACATCTCTGTGATCTAAATTTTTAAGACAAATTTTTTCCTTGTACTCTTCGCACATCTTGCTTATTTCTTCTTTTTTATGCAGCGTCCATTTTTTAAAAAAAATTCTTTTTCTGTGTTACCAATCAATTTATTTTATCAACAAAGCAAGTTTTTGCATCCTCTTCTAGAAACTACTTTCATCCACTTCAAAACGAAGCAAAGATGAAAGTTTAAGTTGGAAAAGTGTCGACTCAAGTAACCAAATGAGAGTTGAGCTGCGGCACATAGACGTGAATACTCGAGAGAAAAGCACAGGGTTCACTCCTCTGTCTTTGGCTGTTCTAAATGGTGAGTAAGTGTGGCTAGCATACTTTGGTTTAATATTTGTGAATTGACAAATTCTGCGCAATTTTTGATAACTGAAAACTAAGTTTTTAAAAAAGTTAAACACTAAAACATTTCCATCTATATATACAAATCATTAGCCAGAATGCGTCTTAATTATATAATGGCTTGTAGGTGAATACTTTTTAATCTTATGTCCGTCTTAGTGATGGGGTGGCTGTATAATCTCATCATTCGTTCTTCTGTCTATCTTCCCTGCATAACAACAATATATGAGGTTATAGGATACTTAATTGTGAACATTTAAAAAAAGAGATTAATTGATGTCTTTGATTTGATTATAATTGTTTTTCTTTTTTTGTCTTTGTGTTTTTAGTTTTTAGTTAGGTTCCAAAAGTATATCTCAATTCTTTAAACGTTCAGTTTGACAGATATGAGGAAAATTAAACAAATGTATTATTTATAACACTAATATTCTTAACAGTTTGTAGCTTTGCGCGTAGAATTGTTGGATGTTATTTGAGCTAAGAAACTCGGTGGAAAGTTTGTAACTGCTTTGCTATTTTTTTTTTCTATTTGCAGGAATGAAAAGCACAGCTGAGCGTTTAATCTTCAACTGTGCAGATGTAAATGCTCTTGATGACAATGGGTAGGTCTGTTTTGAGTGTTACTTTTGGCCTATAAACACCGCAAGTTGTGGAATGTATTCCTTTTGCATCCTAAAGTATTTCACATGATTTTGGTGCCGTTCAGTCTCCTTGTCTGGCTTTTTTTTTAAAATTAGGGTTGTTTCTTTTTGTTGTTTGAGGGGCTTTTTTTTTAAAATTAGGGTTGTTTCTTTTTGTTGTTTGAGGGGCTTTTTTTTTAAAATTAGGGTTGTTTCTTTTTGTTGTTTGAGGGG